AGAGTGCTAGCCTTGAGCTGAAGAGCTGAGGGACAGTGCGCAGGCCCAGAGTTCAGGCCCCACGACCGGACCCCCCCCCAAAAAAAAAGAAAGAAAGGAAAGAAGAAAGGAAGAAAAGAAGCAAGGAAGGAAGGAAGGAAAAGGAAGATGGAGAAGCTAAAAAAGTGGTGATTCTCAAAGATAAAGCCCAGTTGCCAAAGAAAGTAAGGATCAAGGAAGCTATCTGGGGCTGCCATTAAACTGTAAAGCGAGAGGAAATGCTCACTTATGCCAAGAAAACTGAAGCAACAAACCAATATGCAAAAAAGGAGGCCATGGACAGCACCCAAACTGGCAAAAAAAAAAAAAAGTATACAATTAGTGGATCTCCACATTTTAGCAAAATCATGAACCATCACTGCCATATAATTCCAGAACATTTCCATCTTCCCCCAAAGAAATCCTGCATTCACTCAATAGTATTCATTCTGCCATTCTCCTCTTCCCCTAAACATCTATTTTCTTCATTCTTTGTTGTGCGTGTGTGTGTTCTAGGATCTGAATTCAGGATCTCACACTTGTTAAGCAGGTGCTCTACCACTTGAACCATGACTCTAGACTCTTATCCTTTTGATACAGGGTCTCCCCTTATACAGATCAGGCTAATCTCAAGCACATAATCCTCTTCTTCAGCCTCCCCAAAGCTGGGATTATAGGTGTGTACCACAATGCTCTCAATTTACTTCCTTTTTATCTCTTTGGATTGGTCTATGCTGAGTATTTCATAGAAATAGAATAATACAAAATGTGGGTGTCTGGTTTCTTTTGCATAGCATAAGGTTTTTAAGTTTTATATATGTGGTGGCATATATTAGTATTTAATTTCTTTTTTATAACTTGGTAACATATTTCTTTGTATGAACTTGCCATGTATCTTTTTTTTAATCTTCTACCAAAGAAAGCTATAGAGGTCTTTCCCTGTGTGTCTTTCTGTCGGTCTCGGGGTCTCTGTCTCTGTCTGTGAGTCTGTTTCTCTTTGTCTCTGTCTCTGTCTGTCTCTCCTCTCTGTCTCTCTGTCCTCTCCCCTCCGCCCCTCCCCTTGCTTTTCGTTGTGGACTCCAGGAAGAAATG